AAGCCCCAGACGCCGACAAACAAATTGGGTAAGCTAAATACTTTCGTGAGGCACAAATTGGTCACTGAGATGGCACAAATATAAATGTATTCAAAAATATAAAAGTTTATTGCCAGATAAATAGATGACAAAAATACTCCGGACATGGCAAGGCAAAAAATGGGGCACCAAGATGGGCAAAAATCAGGACACATCAGGAAGAAAAAACGAAACACTAAGACGAAACAAGGCACAAAAATGACACAAGTGGAATACTTCGATTTTAAAAAAGGGGACACTGAGATGGGAAAACAATGCGGCACCGACATATTTAATTACAATCTGCGTAAAACTAACATATTTAATAACGATCTGTGTAACGCCAACGTATGTATGAACTATTCGTGTAAAACAAACATATGTAGAAACAATGTGTGTAAAACCAACTTATTTTGAAACAATTTGGGTAAACCAACATATTTAATGACATTTTGTGTAAAACCAACGCAGTGAGAAATAATTTGTGTAAAAGCAATATAGTGAGAAATAATGTGTGTAAAACCAACAAAGTGAGAAATAATTTGTGTAAAACCAACATAGTGAGAAATAATTTGTGTAAAACCAACAAAATGAGAAATAATTTGTGTAAAACCAACATAGTGAGAAATAAATTGTGTAAAACAACAAAGTGAGAAATAATTTGTGTAAAACCAAGTCAGAAATAATTTGTGTAAAACCAATATAGTGACAAATAATGTGTGTAAAACTAACATAGTGAGAAATAATTTGTGTAAAACCAACATAGTGAGAAATAATTTGTGTAAAACCAACAAAATGAGAAATAATTTGTGTACAACCAACATAGCGAGAAATAAATTGTGTAAAACCAACAAAGTGAGAAATAAATTGTGTAAAACCAACAAAGTGAGAAATAATTTGTGTAAAACCAACAAAGTGAGAAATAATTTGTGTAAGACCAACATAGTCAGAAATAATTTATGTAAAACCAATATAGAGAAAAATAATTTGTGTAAGACCAACACAGTCAGAAATAATTTGTGTAAAACCAAAATAGTGAGAAATAATTTGTGTAAAACCAACATAGTGAGAAATAATTTATGTAAAACTAATATAGTGAGAAATAATTTGTGTAAAACCAACAGTCAGAAATAATTTGTGTAAAACCAATATAGTCAGAAAAAAATTGTGTAAAACCAACATAGCGAGAAATAAATTGTGTAAAACCAACAAAGTGAGAAATAAATTGTGTAAAACCAACAAAGTGAGAAATAATTTGTGTAAAACCAACAAAGTGAGAAATAATTTGTGTAAGACCAACATAGTCAGAAATAATTTGTGTAAAACCAATATAGTGAAAAATAATTTGTGTAAGACCAACACAGTCAGAAATAATTTGTGTAAAACCAATATAGTGAGAAATAATTCGTGTAAAACCAAAAAAGTGAGAAATAATTTGTATAAAACCAACAAAGTGAGAAATAAATTGTGTAAAACCAACAAAGTGAGAAATAATTTGTGCAAAACCAACATAGTGAGAAATAAATTGTGTAAAACCAATATAGTCAGAAAAAATTGTGTAAAACCAACATAGCGAGAAATAAATTGTGTAAAACCAACAAAGTGAGAAATAAATTGTGTAAAACCAACATAGTGAGAAATAATTTGTGTAAAACCAACATAGTGGGAAATAATTTGTGTAAAACCAACATAGTGAGAAATAATTTGTGTAAAACCAACATAGTGAGAAATAATTTGTGTAAAACCAAATTAGTGAGAAATAATTTGTGTAAAACCAACATAGTGAGAAATAATTTGTGTAAAACCAACATAGTGAGAAATAATTTGTGTAAAACCAACAAAGTGAGAAATAATTTGTGTAAAACCAACATAGTGAGAAATAATTTGTGTAAAACCAACAAAGTGAGAAATAATTTGTGTAAAACCAACAAAGTGAGAAATAATTTGTGTAAAACCAACAAAGTGAGAAATAATGTGTCGACGCAGCCTCAATCAGGTACCAGGTAATGTCCCGGGAAGTAGAAGCGACTGGCGTGATGCTGTCCACATCAACCAACGAATGCCGACTGGTCTTACAAGTAGCAGTTTGACACCATCTGTTCGGTGCGACACTGACGACGCTATACGGCTCCTTTATCTTGACTTCACTTGATTTGCCTAAAGGACACCCCCCCCCCCCCCTTTTTTAACTCAACTAGCCCATACAGTTACGACTTAAAACTCGTTTAGAGTTTATCAGAGCTACCATGAATCTCTACAAACCATCGTCTGCTATGTCAGCGCATACGATAAAACCTCGTTAATTCACATTTAAAAAATCAAGAGTTCCTGTTAAATGAAATTCTTGCTAACGAATGGATAATATATCCACGCTGGGATCAACATTGTGTTCATGTTTACTGGATGTTCGTACTACAAATCACCGAAACACCATCATAATATACTAAGCATTGGTGCAACACATGCTATAGCGTAGTCGTTATAACCACACAGAAGGCACGTGAAGCCTCCTGGCTGAACATTTGCCCCCCCCCCCCCGCGCCTAACCCCCCCCCTCCCCACTTTTTACACAAATACACACTCTCACACACACGCACGAGCGCACACATATTCACATACATGCACACACATGCAAACTCACACACATACACACACGCGTGCGCACACAGACACTCATACGCACGCTCATGCACACATAAACACACATAAACACACACAAACGCACACGCGCGTGCACACTTATACACATAAATACACACACACGTGCACACTAAACATATGTCAGGACACAACGCCCTATCTCTCCGCCCCCATATACCAAAGTTATCTTTTGAAATATTAATTTCTACAACATAATGATGTTATTTGCCAAAGCTTTTATACTGCCAACATTAATATTAATTTGAATTTGAATCGTTGCAAACAAGAAGTAAAGATAAACAAAACTGATCAGGAGAGATGTAATAATTTGAATTAGCCTATATGTAATGTGTAATTATTGTGATGTGTTTTGGCCAATAGCTACAAATTGGTTTATGTCGGTTTTCAGTTTCTGACGGCGCCGAATGGTTTCCTTTCGTCAATTTGACTATTCTATCCACTGGGTGTTCAAGTCAATAGCAATCCTTCCTTCCTCGCTTCTCTGGCTATGTGCTCCAGCGAAAAGCTCTGGTTGTTCGTCCACTTCTGAACTTTGGTCTTGTTCTAGAAGAGTTTTCCCCGTCCGGATTTGTAGGGAAAACGAAAATAGACGCAATGCCTTCCCCAATATGCATGTCGTAAGAGTCGACTAATTAGGGTATCCATCGAAGTTGGAGTGAATCTGCCTGGGAGGCAAGAAACCAAGAGTCTGCATACAAATAAGCAAGATCTGCGAAATGGTTCAGACAGTCAGAAACAAAACTAAACTCTGGCGATGGACGAACACCCAGAACTTTTCACACGAGTTTATAGCCGGTAAACGCGATGAAGAAGAAGACTAGCGTGCGTGAGTGGTGCGTACAAATTTATATTAAAGAACTGCCTTTTTTGTATGCAGGCTGTTGGTTCCTTGTCTCTCAGGCAAATGCTCTGCGACTTTGAAGCAAACACTCATAATCTGTCACCTCTTACGACATGCTTGTTAAGTGCCAGTATTTCTATTCTCCCCCACCCCAACGGTGTCCACAATGGAAGCCGAGGAGGACGGGGAGGTGATAATGATAGTAACAGCTTTACAGAAGAGAGGTAATTGTGAAGTCAGTTGAGTGAAAGTTTGCAGCTAGGCCGATATTTGTCGTCAAGATGACAGAAAGTCTGTCTGAGGGCGACCTCACGATACTGTAGAGATGACATAAAGTCTGTCTGAGGGCGACCTCACGATACTGTAGAGATGACATAAAGTCTGTCTGTAAGGGCGACCTCACGATACTGTAGAGATGACATAAAGTCTGTCTGTAAGGGCGACCTCACGATACTGTGGAGATGACATAAAGTCTGTCTGAGGGCGACCTCACGATACTGTAGAGATGACATAAAGTCTGTAAGGGCGACATAACGGGTATTGTAGAGATGACTGAACGTCTGTCCTCGCAGATATAGTAGAGATGATTGAACGTCTGTCTGTCCACGCGGATATTGTAGAGATGACTGTACGTCTGTCTGTTCTCGCGGGTATTGTAGAGATGACTGAACGTCTGTCTGTCCTCGCAGATATTGTAGAGATGACAGAACGTCTGTCCTCGCAGATATTATAGAGATGACTTAACGTCTGTCCTCGCAGATATAGTAGAGATGATTGAACGTCTGTCCTAGCAGATATAGTAGAGATGACAGAACGTCTGTCCTCGCAGATATAGTAGAGATGACAGAACGTCTGTCCTCGCAGATATTGTAGAGATGACAGAACGTCTGTCCTCGCAGATATAGTAGAGATGACAGAACGTCTGTCCTCGCAGATATAGTAGAGATGACTGAACGTCTGTCCTCGCAGATATTGTAGAGATGACTGAACGTCTGTCCTCGCAGATATAGTAGAGATGACTGAACGTCTGTCCTCGCAGATATTATAGAGATGACTGAACGTCTGTCCTCGCAGATATAGTAGAGATGACTGAACGTCTGTCCTCGCAGATATTATAGAGATGACTGAACGTCTCTGTCCTCGCAGATATTGTAGAGATGACAGAACGTCTGTCCTCGCATATATAGTAGAGATGACAGAACGTCTGTCCTCGCAGATATAGTAGAGATGACTGAACGTCTGTCTGTCCACGCGGATATTGTAGAGATGACTGAACGTCTGTCTGTCCTCGCGGATATTGTAGAGATGACAGAACGTCTGTCCTCGCAGATATTGTAGAGATGACTGAACGTCTGTCCTCGCGGATATTGTAGAGATGACTGAACGTCTGTCCTCGCAGATATTGTAAAGATGACTGAACGTCTGTCCTCGCAGATATAGTAGAGATGACAGAACGTCTGTCCTCGCAGATATTGTAGAGATGACTGAACGTCTGTCTGTCCTCGCGGATATTGTAGAGATGACTGAACGTCTGTCTGTCCTCGCGGATATTGTAGAGATGACTGAACGTCTGTTCCTCGCAGATACTGTAGAGATGACTGAACGTCTGTCTGTCCTCGCAGATATTGTAGAGATGACTGAACGTCTGTCTGTCCTCGCAGATATTGTAGAGATTACTGAACGTCTGTCTGTCTTCGCAGATATTGTAGAGATGACTGAACGTCTGTCAATCCTCGCAGATATTGTAGAGATGACTGAACGTCTGTCTGTCCTCGCGGATATTGTAGAGATGACTGAACGTCTGTCTGTCCTCGCGGATATTGTAGAGTTGACTGAACGTCTGTCTGTCCTCACGGATATTGTAGAGATGACTGAACGTCTGTCCTCGCAGACATTGTAGAGATGACTGAACGTCTGTCCTCGCGGATATAGTAGAGATGACAGAACGTCTGTCCTCGCAGATATAGTAGAGATGACTGAACGTCTGTCTGTTCTCGCTGATATTGTAGAGATGACTGAACGTCTGTCTGTCCTCGCAGATATAGTAGAGATGACTGAACGTCTGTCCTCGCGGATATAGTAGAGATGACAGAACGTCTGTCCTCGCAGATATAGTAGAGATGACTGAACGTCTGTCCTCGCAGATATTGTAGAGATGACAGAACGTCTGTCCTCGCAGATATTGTAGAGATGACAGAACGTCTGTCCTCGCAGATATAGTAGAGATGACAGAACGTCTGTCCTCGCAGATATTGTAGAGATGACAGAACGTCTGTCCTCGCAGATATAGTAGAGATGACAGAACGTCTGTCCTCGCAGATATTGTAGAGATGACTGAACGTCTGTCCTCGCAGATATTGTAGAGATGACAGAACGTCTGTCCTCGCAGATATAGTAGAGATGACAGAACGTCTGTCCTCGCTGTCCTCGCAGATATAGTAGAGATGACAGAACGTCTGTCCTCGCAGATATAGTAGAGATGACAGAACGTCTGTCCTCGCAGATATAGTAGAGATGACAGAACGTCTGTCCTCGCAGATATAGTAGAGATGACAGAACGTCTGTCCTCGCAGATATAGTAGAGATGACAGAACGTCTGTCCTCGCAGATATAGTAGAGATGACAGAACGTCTGTCCTCGCAGATATAGTAGAGATGACAGAACGTCTGTCCTCGCAGATATTGTAGAGATGACTGAACGTCTGTCCTCGCAGATATTGTAGAGATGACAGAACGTCTGTCCTCGCAGATATAGTAGAGATGACAGAACGTCTGTCCTCGCAGATATTGTAGAGATGATAGAACGTCTGTCCTCGCAGATATTGTAGAGATGACAGAACGTCTGTCCTCGCAGATATTGTAGAGATGACTGAACGTCTATCCTCGCAGATATAGTAGAGATGACTGAACGTCTGTCTGTCCTCGCTGATATTGTAGAGATGACTTAACGTCTCTGTCCTCGCGGATATTGTAGAGATGACAGAACGTCTGTCTGTCCTCGCGGATATTGTAGAGATGACAGAACGTCTGTCTGTCCTCGCGGATATTGTAGAGATGACAGAACGTCTGTCTGTCCTCGCGGATATTGTAGAGTTGACTGTAGAGTGACATTTGTAGAGCAGCATTGATGAGGAGTTGACGAATCTGTATACATGTGGAAGGCAGGCTTGAAGGGGCACAGACAGGTGGACAAACTGGCAGGTGCTCATGGAGACAGAAGTTGAATCGCAGAAAGGTAGGACGCGTGGTCGTGCTGGCAAACAAACAAGCTCTTGCTAAAGGAGGCAGGCAAATAGATATGCAGATAGACAGACATACAGGTGGACAGATAGAGGGTTGGATCAACCAAGGGGAGTATAGTTCAGACTATTCACGGAGCAGACAGACGGACAGACCGACTGACCGTACGACCAACGGACGGGCTGACGAAGGAATTGAGTGGGGAAGGGGACGGACGGACGGGCGGGCGGGCGGACGGACGGACGGACGGACGGACGGACGGGCGGGCGGACGGACGAGCAGGCAGACAGGCAGGCAGGCAGGCAGCTAGACAGACAGACAGACAGACAGACAGACAGACAGACAGACAGACAGACAGACAGACAGACAGACAGACAGACAGACAGACAGACAGACAGACAGACAGACAGACAGATAGATAGATAGATAGGTTGATAGATAAATAGATTTTTGTGGTGACATAAAGAAAGAGTTTTGGAAAATGAAATAACAGATGTAGATACGATAGAACGAATAGGCATGGATAGACGGATAGACTAACAAATCAGCAGACAGACATATGTCTTCAGCATTTTAGTAATAAGCCAGTAATGAGATGTCTCTGGAGAGAAAAGACTAATATTGACAGGGCTGCAAGATAAACAAGAGGCGGGGCCAAATCATCTGAGGATGTCACTACTAGAGATAAGGACTGGGAGGGCAGATCATTTGCTAAGTACGTTGATGCCACTAGTGGTTTTGTAGGTCTTTCATAATTTACGAGATTTCCCTTCAAGTCTAATGATAATTTACGAAATTGTGCGTCAAGTCTGCTGATAATTTACGAGATTGGGCTTCAAGTATACTGATAATTTACGAGGTTGTTCTCTGAGTGTGCTCTGAGATTGTCTAATGTTATTGAAGATGGCTGCGACGTAGCCTAGCTACAACAATGGCATTCATATCTAGTAGTGTGCTTTCACTTGCCTTCCGATTCGAATTGTTTTACCTCGTGGCTACTGCCTAAAGGTTTGACTTGTTTTACCTCGTGGCTACAGTCTAAAGGTTTGACTTGTTTTACCTCGTGGCTACTGCCTAAAGGTTTGACTTGTTTTACCTCGTGGCTACTGCCTAAAGGTTTGACAAACCCCATATTTTTGTAAAAAATCTCAATTTCATCGGTCAACTAACAAAAACGCAGATGTGCTGGTGCCGTGAAATCCTTCCTGTCTTTCATATTCTGGCGATAAACTCTCTGTCTCCGCCATCTTTGGCTAATTTGTCACCCATAGGTGCAAATCATTTTACCACTCACAGTTTGCTACATTAAGCACCTTATTTGCCTAATTTATTCTCCTTCTCTTTATGTTTCCCCGATGAGATGTGACTGATCTCTCATGGAGTGTGCTCTAGGGATGGCTCCAGTAACCTTGACCCGGGCCAGGGATCACTGGATTAAAGTAACAGGCCTTTACTGTCTAACATACATACCTACCCTTCCTCCCTCCCTCCCTCCCTCCCTCCCTCCCTCCCTCCCTCCCTCCCTTCCTTCCTTCCTTCCTTCTTTCCTTCCTTCCTTCCTTCCTTCCTTCCTTCTGCTGCTGCTTTTTCTTCTTCTTTTTCTTCTTCTTCTTCTTCTTCTTCTTCTTCTTCTTCTTCTTCTTCTTCTTCTTCTTCTTCTCCTTCTTCTTCTTCTTCTCCTTCTCCTTCTTCTCCTTCTTCTCCTCCTTCTTCTTCTTCTTCTTCTTCTTCTTCTTCTTCTTCTTCTTCTTCTTCTTCTTCTTCTTCTTCTTCTTCTTCTTCTTCTTCTTCTTCTTCTTCTTCTCCTTCTTCTTCTCCTTCTTCTTCTTCTTCTTCTCCTTCTTCTCCTTCTTCTCCTTCTTCTCCTCCTTCTTCTCCTTCTTCTTCTTCTTCTTCTTCTTCTTCTTCTTCTTCTTCTCCTTCTTCTTCTCCTTCTTCTTCTCCTTCTTCTTCTCCTTCTTCTTCTCCTTCTTCTCCTTCTTTTCCTCCTTTTTCTCCTTCTTCTTCTTCTTCTTCTTCTTCTTCTTCTTCTTCTTCTTCTTCTTCTTTTACTTCTCCTTCTCCTTCTTATTCTTCTCCTTGAATGTGTGTGTGCATGTATGTCAATATGTGTGTATGTGTCTTCTGTTTGTGTATGTATGTAGATGCGTGTATGTATGTATTAGGAATGTCTGTATATGAATGTGCATGTATGAGAATGTAAGAGTATATATATATATACGTGTGTGTGAGTGTGTAAGATTGTGTACGCATGATGTGTGTATGCATTATTCTATAATGCATATTTCTTTATTATATCCATAACATGCATTATTGATAACAGGCATTGATAATTTAAAAAATTAGTGCTTAGAAGGGCCGAATGTCAGACGGGCCTGGGTGCCCAATTTGTACCCCTTTAAAAATAAAGTTTGCTCGTTCGTTCGTTCGTTCTTATTCTGCTTCTTCTTTTTTTTTTCTCCTGTTATTCACAGGTAAGACACAGACCCTTAAACAAGTCAAACCAAACGGTCCTAACCTTTGCTATCACACGCACCTCATCCCATGTCATCTTTGCTATCACATGCACCTCATCCCATGTTATCTTTGCTATCACACGCACCTCATCCTATATATATATATATATATATATATATATATATATATGAAAGCAATGTTTCCCTGTTGCAAATTTAAACAAATAAAACACAAATAAAAGATTGCACAATTTATTGCCTGGCATATTTCGCTGTATCTCACCAGGTGCATACTACAGTTACAATTACATACATTGACTAATCTGCTTCATTTATGCAATTGTTACTGTAGTATGCACCTGAAGAGATACAGCGAAATATGCCAGGCAATAAATTGTGCAATCTTTATTCTGTGCCTTCTTTGTTCGTTTATATTTATGTACTAGAACGGAAAAGCCCTAAGTACAAAGAAAAAAAATAGTTCGTTAGGCGGGGGCTAGAAACAGAAATATTCTAGCCCAGACACGGAATCTTCTGTGTAAAATCTAATCAGCCAAGCAACAAATAAACTAAGCACACTAACTAAAAGTCCTAATCTGAACGAAAAACAACTGGAACTATGATTACCACATTGAGCATCTGTTTATTTCACTTAACATAAAAAAGTGTGGTTCACAAATAACAACATTAACACTAACCAACGTGCTCGACCACAATCTAAAATGCTATTCATCTCCAGCTAACAAGGAAATATGATAATGACCCCACACGTTCAGCGAGATTACTTCAACAATGGCAAAAACCGAAACATATTTAACATGTACGTTAAGCTTCAATATGTCAACAAATCACTTATAGCGACCTGCCACCAAACTATCTTCTAGCGAGAATACACAATGGAAATCAAATCTAACACCACTGGAGAAATTTCAGATTTAACTATGGAAACATACCACCACCGCGAAATCAGCCTTCCCCTGCAGGTGCCCGTACCCATGCTGGCTAGCCCAATGTGCAAAGCCGCAACAGCTAGGGCGGTGTTCTGCAGGGTCGGTCCGGAAGCCAAATAGGCTGCTAAAATCTATCTGTCTTTTTTTACCCCACCAGGACATCACACAAGCGATAAACACCCGATGACACAAAGTGCCTCCAAGTGGATGAGGATCACCCGTGGAGAGGTCCCAGAAACCGCGTTCAGCCATTAG